CGCTCAGTTCGGGTTGTCTGTGTTGCCTGTAGGTGATGACGGATGCTCGTCGGAGTAACTCCCTGGCTCAGTGGGTGGTGGGAACCAACAGTCTGTAGGGATCAACCGTGATGTGAGTAGGTCATGCGCTGCTTTGCTCCGTGTTGGATGTGTGGACTGCCTCGTCTGCGCACCACCGCTGCCTTGCTGCCTGTCCCGCTTGCTTTGCATGTTGCTCTCTGCAAGTTGTTGTGTTCACTGTGTAGTGTGTGGCTGTGTTGTCGGCGTTGCCTTGCTGCCCACTCGCTGGCCATGCCTTCCGTGTTTCCGCGCTGCGCGCCATGTCTTCACTTGGAGACAGTCTGCCTTCAACAAGGGTCAAAGGGTTCATGACCCAAACCATCTAATACGGAGATTCCCGCAGATTGTCGAGGGTTCAGCCTCCTGATGAGTCGGTGCAATTCGGACGAAACAATCTTGTCATCATCTGATTTTGTTTTATTATTATTTTTTTCTGTTGTTGTCTGTTTTATACTTGGATTTTTTTTGGAGTTGTTTGTGCATTGTCGTTGTTTGGCTGGCTGCTGTTTCCCTTGCTCCTTTATGCTTCTTGCTTGCCCATTCACCCACCCCGTGCCTTTCACCCAGTGTGCTTTGTTGTTTGTGCTGTTTGCCCTGTGTCATTCTATGCCTTGCTGGTTGTGTCTTGTATGCGCTCGATCTTTCGGGCTTGGGATTGTATGTTTTTTTCTGTCTTCCGTATGCCTAGTAGACTTGCAGTGCTACTTTAAGGGTTGTCTATTGACTTGACTCACTCAGATGTGTGTTTCCTCTTGAAGTCTATTGTATAGGATGAACAATGTGATGGGGTCCTTCTGGAGGTTATCCTGTGATGTGACAATGATTTGGAGCACATATGCGTTATGTACTGAGGAGCCCTTAATATGTGTTCACACACATCGACACACGCACACACACAAACAAACACACAGAGGGAGGAGACCTTGGAGGAATGGCGAGGGAGGAGGGGAGGAGACGGAGGAACTTGCCAGGACGGAGCTTGCCAACCCAGTGTGAATTCAGAGTCCCAGATTGCGGCGCCTAGTAGGGCCTGGGTATACTGCAAAGTTGTAGGAAGGGTAAACCGGGTAAAACACGGTGCAGGCCCTGGCCCTAACTGAGAGGTGTAGATTGCAAATTGCGTCCCGGCCCCTAACGGAGAGGTGTAGATTGCAAACTTGCGTCCCGGCCTGGCAGGGGCGTATGGCAATGAATTCAGGCCAAAAAGCCATTCCACTCTACCCACATAGTTTAGGGGTATTTTCACATATTTCTTAACTTTGAGGGGTATAACGCAAATTTCTCCCAAAAGAAAACACTGATTTCGCCCGGCAGACCCGCCCACTACCGTCTTCCCCCGAACACAACGCACCCTCATTTTGACTGCATCGGGCCGGAAACATGCCTTGCATACGTTCATTTTCAGGGTGCGTTATGTTCGGGGGAAGAGGGTAGCACCGATTTCCCCCACGGAGTGGTGTGCCGAGGGCCATAGTCAATGAGCAAAGACAAACAACCCTCTCCGTGGGCTAGGTCCCACTTGCACGAATTAAGAGATACTGACCGTAGATAGCAAAGATCAACGGCCAAAATCTCCTAGTTTGCGCAAGTGGGACCTTTGCCATGTGAAAGTCCAAGGTCTCGAGCCTCGCGCCACTACTCTCGACATGCACAAACGACAAAAGTCATGGCGGTGCATCTTCCCATGTTCCAGGGGAAGATTCACTCTCGATTTGACACATATTGACAAAAGTCATGGCGGTGCATCTTCCCATGTTCCAGCGGAAGATTCACTCTCGATTTGACACATATTGAGTAGTGGAGCGAGAAAAAAAAAAAAAAAAAAAAGTAGTGGAGCGAGGGCCCTTGGAGCGCGATTAGTGCGCTTATTGCGATACGAATACGGTTATTCCGCCAGGCAGACCCGCTCGCTAGGTAGCACCCGGATCTAAGGGCATACTGGCACTGCCACCCTTCTAAAAATGTATGTGATCACAAATACGGCCAACTGTGGACGAATCTGACCGTAATTACCTCCAGAGCTTAGTAGAAAAGCCCCTACCTAGTTGTGAGCATCCCCTCGGCTTGCATGCATGATGATCTTGACTGCTGACGATCAATTGGTCCTTGTGGTATTGGCTCCCCCCATCAGTGACCGTTTTTTGTCGATTTGTGAGGATAACGCAAATCTAACCTCTAAGAGCACACTCACACACTAGAACTTCTTACTACGTATTATTTATGGCTGTAATTGCGTTCATATACACAACGCTGTGGCCGTCATTGCGGTCAGATGCATTTAAGATAGAGCTAGGTGGTGTGTGAGTACCACTCCAAGTGGTTTGCAGGCGAGTCTGCATCTCTTGTTCGAAGGGGAGTGTCCGCAGGGGTGTCGCTCTCTTCTTTGAAAACAAACAAGCTTTTCAGAAGAAAAAAAAAAGAAAAAAAAAAGAGGAGTGTCCGCAGGGGTGTGCCTGACGAGGGGTGATCGCTGCACTACTCTCGACATGCACAAAAGACAAAAATCATGGCCGTGCATCTTTCCATATTCTAGCGCAAGATTCACTTTCGTTTTGCACATTTNCACAAAAGACAAAAATCATGGCCGTGCATCTTTCCATATTCTAGCGCAAGATTCACTTTCGTTTTGCACATTTCGAGAGTAGTGCAGCGAGGCCCGATCTCTATACCAACCAACAGTCACATGTCACAGGGCCTCGCCACACGGCAAACGAAACGAGTGCATCTGCCCACGAAAGGTGGCACAATACACTCGTTACTATTCATAGCGAACCGATGAACCTGGCCATTTTGTGGCAGAAGATGCACTCGTTTGGTTTTTGGTTTCGTGTGCCGTGCGGCGACGCCCACAGTCACATGTGCCCGCCACGCGCTGGGTGAAATGGAATTATTTGCCGCTCAAAATGCTGTGTGCAGCCGCACAGACCGGGGGCTAGGTCACACTTGCACGAATTAAGCGATATTGACCGTACATAGCAAAGATCAACGGCCAGAATCTCTTCATCCGTGCAAGTGGGACTTTGCCCTGGAAGAGGCGGCATTCTCACACCGGGGCAAGGTCCCACTTGCACGGATTAAGAGATTCTGGCTCTTGATCTGTGCTATCCACGGTCAATATCGCTTAATTCGTTCGTGTAAGTGGGACCTAGCCCCCAGACTACTGTGCATGTATAAGTCCGCAAATACTTGTACTGTGCACGCGGCGTGTTCGCTGATGGTATCTCTATTCGGCGGACGGCGGACAGGACCCTAGTTCTCCTCCTCCCTTTCTCCCAGACCATTGTGTGCGTGGGTGATTTCTGGCTCCCCTCCCCTCCTCCCTTTCTCCCAGACCATTGTGTGCGTGGGTGATTTCTGGCTCCCCTCCCAGGGAGGGCAAGGAGGCTGGGGCGGTAGCGGTAAGAACTTTTGCCCCTTGTGTGGGGGTGGGAAAGATCGGCGGGCAGTGGTGTGGTGGTCGATGAGAGAGGAGGGAGGTCCTGATGTCGTCGGACCTCTTCCTTCCTCTCCCCTCCCCTCCCCTCCGCTGCGGCCATCTCCAGGGCAGTGAGTGTGAGTGGGCCTGGTTTGTCTGACTGGTGGTGGCGGAAGTTGTTCCTTTTTTTTTTTTTTTTTTTTTTTTGGTTTAGCATGCGAGCTTTCGCGTAATGGGCTTGTCGCGGAGGAGGAGGAGACACGCGAAGAAAGGTGGCTGAGAGGAGAGGAAGGGAGGAAGGGAGGAAGGGAATAACACTGGTTAAGCCACAGGTTCAGGCTTACAACCTGTTGCTGCAATAATAAACACGAGGCGGCGACGCAAGAGGTGTGTTTTGCGGCGGCAGGGCGATTGATTGCCTGTCTCTCGCTTCAACTCCGGATCACAACGCGTCTCCGCGAGCGGGGTGTATTCGCTTTCGACCGTACGTACAGATCGGATTCTGATGTGTCGTCTGACCTGCCTATCGCTGCCAAGTTTTGAACCTCGAAATGGTAGTATGCCAAGGAGCCGCAAACCCTCGACGATGTCGAGACGGTTGATTCACTTCTTCACAGAGTGACGGAAGTGACAAGTTTTGCACACACACACACACACACACACACACACACACACACAGAGAGAGAGAACCTCGGAATCCTGCTACGAATGTACACTTACACAAAGAGAGAGAGAGAGAGAGAGAGAGAGAGAGAGAGAGAGAGAGAGAGAGAGAGAGAGAGAGAGAGAGAGAGAGTCTCGGAATCCTTCTACGTATGTACATTTACCCACACACACACACACACACACACACACAGAGAGAGAGAGAGAGAGAATCGCTGTCGCTGTGATTAGTGCTAGTAGTTTCCGTAGGTGATCAAGACGCAGGGAGGGAGGGAGGGAAGGGAGGAGGGAGGGAGGGAAGGGAGGAGGGAGGGAGGGAAGGGAGGAGGGAGGGAGGGTGGGAAGGAGGGGAGGGGGGTGGCGAGGAGGGGAGGGGGAAGAATAGCGAGTATTAGGTTGCTGCGGATGAGAAACGGGATTAGGCAATTGTGCTGGTTCTGACCGCTGACGATTGTGCCGGGATTCGATCGGACTCATCAAAGGCAATGGCGATGGAGGTGAAGCTTTTGACTTACGTGGAGGATGACGTGCCTCCTGAAGGTTACGTTGTCCTGTCATCCCCGGCGGAGCCTCTGAAGTGGCATCGGGCGGAGCCTGCGGGATTCTCCTTTCATCAAGCTGCTCTGCGGCGCTCTGGCATGCTGAAGCACAGCGATGGCGACGCACAAGACGAGGAAGACGAGAAGGCGGCCTCCGCTTCCGCCGCCGGCAGCGCCTCCATGGCCGATGGCTCTTCTCAGTGGTACAGCGGTAAGGGCAAGAAGTCATCTTCTGCCAAGGACGGATCGGGCGGCCAGGATCACTACAAGCTCCTAGGTCTCGGTCATCTTCGATTTCTTGCCACTGAAGATCAGATCAAGAAGGCTTACAGAGAAGTAGCGCTGAAGTTTCATCCTGACAAGCAAGCCTCTCTCCTTCTGGAGCAAACCTCGCAGTCTGCCAGAGACTCCAAGAGACAAGAGATCGACGACCACTTCAAATCCATCCAGGAAGCGTATGAGGTTCTGATTGATCCTGTGAAGCGACGAATCTTTGACTCCTGTGATGAATTCGACGACGAGATCCCTAGTGATTGCAGTGCGGATGATTTTTTCAAGGTCTTCGGCCCCGTGTTCCTGCGAAACGGGAGGTGGTCGGTCACGCAGCCGTGCCCGCAGCTGGGGGAGGATGAGACGAGTATGGAGGAGGTGGACAAGTTCTATTCCTTCTGGTTCAATTTCCGGTCCTGGCGGGAACACCCGCACGCGGACGAATTCGATCTGGAACAGGCGGAGTCGAGGGAGCACAAGCGATGGATGGAACGGCAGAATGCCAAGCTGAGGGAGAAGGCGAAGAAGGAGGAGATGGGAAGGATCCGAACTATGGTGGATAACGCGTATCGGCGAGATCCGAGGGTAATAAGGCAGAAGGAGGCGGAGAAGGCGGAGAAGGTGCGGCGAAAGCAGGCAAAGATTCAGGCGAAGAAGGAAAAGGAGGAAGAGATAGCAAGGAAGGAGGAAGAGGAGAGATTGAGAAGGGAGGAGGAGGAGAGGGCGCTGGCAGAACAAGCTGCGCAGATGAAGAAGCAAAAGGACAAGGAGAAGAAGCTCTTGAGAAAGGAGAAGGCCAGACTGCGTGCCATCGCCGCGCCGCTTTACACGACCACCCCCTCCACCTCCACCTCCACCTCCTCCTCCTCCTCCTCTACCGCGGCCTCCACGCCCTCGACAACGACTACTACTAGTGCTACCTCCTCGCCTAGGCGACCCTTGTCTTCGCCTTCATCGTCCTCTTCTTCGAAAGCAGCAGCGCAGGACCCATCACGGGGAGGGAGAGGAGATGGTAGTAGGGCAGGAGGGAGGAATTCGACGGCGGGGGGCCAGCAGAACAGCCAGCAGAAGCAGCAGCAGCAGCAGCAACAACTGCGGCCAAAGATGGCTGTGGCTATCTCGGAGGAAGACGTGGAAAAGTTGTGCTCTTGCTTAGATCTTAATCAGATGAAGGATTTGTGCGGCCGACTCGAAGCGGAGACGAGGGAGGAACGGAGAGTAGAGATGGTAGTAGAAGCTTTGACCGATGTAGAAAGGCAGCAGCAGGCAACGGCTGCAGCATGCAGTCAAGGGGACGGTCTGGCGGCGGCGGCGGCGGGGACGGGGGGACATCAAGCCAACGGCGGGGCCAATCATCATATAGCAGCAGATGGAATCCCATCATCTGGAGGAGGAGGAGGAGGAGGGGAGGGAACTGCAGCGGGAGGGGGGGGGGGGGGGGGGGGTAGCGATAAGCCGAGCTGGACAAAAGAGGAAATGGATTTGTTGGCTAAAGGGCTGAAGAAATTCCCCAAGGGTACGGCGCGCAGATGGGAGGTTATTGGTAATTACCTGGGGGGGAGGTCGGTGGAGGAGGTGTTGAAGATGATGAAAGAATTGGCGGCGGCCAAGCCAGATGATTCGCGCTCATTTGAGCATTTCCTTCAGAAGAGAAAGCCGAGCAACAGAGTGATCGGCAACACCCCGGATATTGCAGACGGTAGAGTGGCTGAAGACATGGAGGGAGCGGGAGGGAGGCGGAGGGATGAGGACGGAAGAGGAGGAGGAGGAGGAGGAGGAGGTAATTCAGCAGCAACAAGAGGTGGTGTAGGGGAGGATGAGAAAGGAAATGCCAGTGGTAGGCGGGGAGCGGCAACAGACGGCGCCGCGGGCGGTGCGCGGACCGGCGCTTCGACAGTTTCGGAGTCGCTGGCAACCGCCGCCCGCGCACCTGCGGAGGACACGTGGACCGACGCGCAGGATGTCGCGCTCGTCAAGGCTCTCAAGGCTTTTCCCAAAGATACCCCCCAACGATGGGATAGAATCGCGCAGGCCGTACCAGGGAGAAGCAAATCTCAATGCTTCAAACGCTTTTCAGAGCTGAGAGAGAATTTTAGGCGGAAACGCAACGAAGGGGGGGCTGCCGACGACTCCTAGCTCTAGTGGGGAGTATATACACCTCTGGTAGCATTGCTGCGTAGGTCTACCAATATTGTTGTTGGTGTTGGTGTTGGTATTGGTGTTGATGTTGATGTTACCTTGAGATGGCTGGTGTTGTTGTGGTTTCTTTATTTTCTCAGCTGTTTTTTTTTTTTTTTTTTTTTTTTTTTGGTGATGGCGAGAGTAGGAGACTTGACTGTATGTGCGTTATTGCACTTCATTTGCCAATGTTGATGCCCTATGTTTTTCGTTTTTCTTTTGTTATTTCTGTGTTTTAGGGTTCGTTACCAATGAGCCATGTCGCTGTTGCGTTCGGTTCATTGGTTATCCCCCCTTTCTTCTCCCGCCGCCTTCCTCCCCTTCTCTCTCTCTCTCTCCCTCTTTCCCTCCCTTCTCCCTCCCTTCTCCCTCCTCTCTCCCTCCTCCTTCCCTCCCTGTTCCCTCCCTCCCTCATCCCTCCTTCCTCCCTTTTCCTTCCTTCTCTCTCCCCCTTCCCCCCACCTTCCCTCCCTCCCTCCTCCCTCTTCCTTCTCCCTCCTCTCTTCGTTGTGGTCATTCGCACAGCTCGCAAAGCTTGCATCTCCTTTCTTCTTCCTCCCTCCTCCCTGCCTCCCTCCGTCCCTCCCTCCCTCTTCTTCACAGAGCGCACAGCTTCCATCTCCTTTCTCCCTCCTCCCTCCTCCCTCCTCTTCACAGCTCGCACACCTTGCATCCTCTCTCCTCCTCCCTCCTCTCTTCGTTGTGCCGCTCACTCGCACACAGCTCTCACAGCTTGCATCTCCTTTCTTCCTCTCTCCCTCCTTCCTTCTCCGTCCTCTCTCTTCGTTGTTGCGCTCCCTCACACACAGCTCGCACAGCTTGCATCTCCGTATTGCCGTTATTTCGAGAATCGTATTTACCATTGTTGATGGCGGGATGTGCTCTGAGTGAATGATTGAGTAAATGGGTGCGCGGCTGATTTGATTTGTTTTTTAATTTTAAATCCGATATGCTAATCTTTTTTGTATCGTTTCAATGTCAACGGATGATCCGAAGGACTCTGATTTGATTTGATCTCGTGGCAGTCGAGTGTTTTTACGATGGGTGATGACCACCTTGGGGAATGGTAGGGGAGGAGGAGGGGGGGGGGGGGAGAGGGGGGGGCATGCATGCTGTTGAAAGATTGAAGAATGCACGTGGGCCACCCTTAAGTGTACTCCGTTCCCCTTCCTCGCTTTGCGGCTTCCCTGTCTCCTCTGTCCATCTCACTTACCCTCGTGTGGATCTCGACAGGATTTTTTTCTTTTTTAGCCATTTCTATCGGTTGCGCTGCATATCGGCATTTGCAATAAGAAGAGCATTCCATTTTAGACAATCGCTCTCTCTCGCCACCTCTCGTAGTGAAACCCTCTCTCTCTCTCTCTCTCTCTCTCTCTCTCTCTCTCTCTCTCTCTCTCTCTCTCCCCCTCCTCGTGAAACCCTGTCTCTTTCCCTCTCTTAGCGAAACACTCTCCCTCTCCCTCTCTTAGGGCATACTCACACTAGCACTTTCCTAAATGCATCTTATCTTACTGCAATTACGGCAAGACCTGGATGAATCTGACCGCAATCACTTTCCTAAATAGCGTGATTATGCCCTTAGTGAAACCCTCTCTTTCCCTCTCTTAGTGAACCTTCCCCCCCTCTCTCTCTCTTTTAGGGCATACTCGCACTACCATGGCCCTAAATCTATCTGACGGCAATTACGGCAAGACCTGGATGAATCTGATCGCAATTACGTCCAGAGCTTAGTAGAAAATGTCCTAGTGTGAGTATCCTCTCTTAGTGAAACCCTCTCTTTCCCTCTCTTAGTGGAACCCTCTCTCTCCGTCTCTCGCCCTCTCTCTCTCTCTCTCTCTGTGTCACGAGGTGCTTATAATCCCTCTCTCTCATTCTCTCCCTGCCTCTGTCTCGTCATCTTCCCAGCGTTCCCTTCTGGTCCACTGATGGGCGCATCAGTTCCCTCCGCCTCTCATGCACTTGGTGGTTTACCTAGCTTCCCTGTAGGACTGCGCGCCGATATTCTTCCCTCCTCTCTCCTGCCTGCAGAGGGAGAGTCGCTCGGTCAGGCCGAGATGGAGGCGATTGATGGTCCTCTCTCTCTCTCTCTCTCTCTCTCTCTCTCTCTCTCTCTCTCTCTCTCTCCCCTCCCTTCCCTTCACTCTTATGGCGGGTTTTGAGTTTTCTTCTGCTGATGGCAGACCGGTCTCATGCTGATACAGATCGAACTCGCGTTGCATGATGATAAAAAATGCACAAAATCCTGTTAACAAAGAAATGATGAATAAAACAATTAAACTGAAAAAGAGAAGAAAGTTATCCGGAAAAAAAGAAGAAAAGAAAAAGAATATGGCGGTTATCCATATTCCTCATGCATATTGATATGCCGATTATGTTTACAAAAAAGAAAAAAGAAAAAAGAAA